ATTTGGGAAGATTCACAGGGTATCTGCCTGCAAGGGGGGATGGGATAACAAATAAATTTATATTTTAAATTTTTCTGATTGCCTGATAAAACAAACTTTGTTTCTCTTGCCTAATCTCAAAGTCCCTGAAGCATTTCTATGTTGCAGTCAATTTCATTTGTCTGTTAGTAAGTCCCCAGATGACTCTAGGTGAAGTAATTTTTCAAATGTTGATTTTTTCCCCCAGCAAAGTAAGAGTAGGAGTATCTAGTCCACTGGCTATCAACCCTAAGGGTGAGAATGTAAACTGACCAATTTTGTAAGAGAATTGTCTTCCCATGACTTGTCTACAACTTAATCCACAATATAAGCAATTTACCAAGTCAGTCAAGCAATGAGTAAAAGGAAAGTTGGAGATACACATTCATAGGGGTCAAGCATGCATGGCCCAGAAGGAAGGGATGGGAGGGAGATTAAAGCTGTATTGCAACAAAGGTACTTGAGCCCCAAGAGTGTTGGCTGATTTGGCAACTATGGATAAAATATATTTTGTAGAAAAAAAGGAAAACTGGAAAATGGGGAGCTTAAAAAGCTACCTGTGGCTAACAAACTCTCCTTCTATCAGTCCCTAAAACTATATTTGTTTTGAAACTGAAATCCAGATCCTCTTGGCTACATTTTAAGTTTTCCAGAGCTTTTATCATTACTGTCTGGAAGAGCAGGAAGGGATGCAAAAAAGGATACTATCATACAGGAAGCCAAAATGAATCAATTTTGTCATCTGCTACTTTCCGTTTAATGTCACAAGAGTAACAATAGATAACTTCATACTTGATAGATAACTTTATACTGATGACAAGCATCTTTACAAAATTAATCGGATTCCTCACTATAATTAGCTCTTGCAAAGTTAATAGAAAATTAAAAATTACTAGATGATTAGACCACAATTATACCAATTTTGAACTCTGAACAAACTGCATATACACTTGGCAAAGATAAAACAGGATGAGAACAGAAGCAATGAGTCAACTGGGTTGCCAGAAATCAGTTTTGGGGGTGGGGGTGGGTAAGGGGATAGTGGACTAAATTTACTACTAATGTGAACACTGTTTAATATCAGGTTATGATAAACATAAATCTGAAATTTCAATTGGGGATTGTTCCTTTACTACCAATAGGTACACCCACAGTACACGCCCTGCGGCATACCATGCAGGAAGTTTCACAATCCACTCCTTGTTCCTCACCATATTATATAGCAGAGGTAAGTGTTGAGACACGTTTTAGGTGCCAGGCTGAGCCTCTTTTCAGTTGAATATTTACGTTAACATGCCAACTTGCTCCTATTAGTTATTTAGTATTAAA